TCACTGCTCTCTGGTCGCCTATGAGCAACGGGCTCCGCAAGGCCTTCCGAAGAAGCAGAAGCTACGGGAGAAAATCGGTCATCTTGAGCAGAGACCACTGAGTTAGAAAGAAGATGGGCAAAGATACCTACGATGTTTTCTGTGTATCAACACCCTCTCTTTTCTGAACTGTGCCCTGATGACTTCATGACCCCCTTCTCTAACTTTGGGCTTTGTGATGGAAAGGAATAAATGTGGGATTAGGAAAGCTGAGGATGGGAGGGCCAGGAGGAAGACCGGCGGGATAAAGAGGAGGAGGAATTGCCTCACAACATTCAAAGCTTGTAAAAAGGTGCAAACAATTGAAAACTGACAGAACACCATGCTCCTGCCCCCACCCCAAGAACTCTACCGCCTCTACCGCCCCTTCCTTCACTAGTACGTCAGCACGTGGTGACATCATCGGGAATTATTAACTGGAGGTAGCAGGTCAATTAGCAGTTGCAACTTTTCCCCTAATGAAACCCTTTAGCAGAATTTCAACATAATTTGGGAAATTTGAATCATCCTTGACTACCTTCTCTCACCTACTGTCATTCCTTACAAAATAAAAATATACTGAGAACAGGGTGAGTGTTCTTAGCCTCACTGGCATTTAGAGGAAGGCCAAGTGTGGCTCGAGATGCAGGGGAGTGGAGGATCGTTTGCACAACACGGGGGGCCTGGGCTCCCCTAGTACTGGGAGAAAGTGGCTGAGAAGCACAAACGAAGATAAGTCACTCTTCCATTCCTGAAGTCATGATTATTAAAGACTGGCATTGCCCCCTTCTGCTAGGGATTCAGAGAAGGTGACACCCCCTGATTTATGATGGCAGCAGTGAGAGAAGCTTCCCTGAAGACACACTAGCAGAACCCAAGCATCAGCAGTACACATCCTTCCACCGCTGGCAGTCAGCTTTGGAAACACACACACACACACACACACACACACACACACACACACACACAGGCTTTTAGGCTTCTGAGAGGAGAGGGGTTGAGGAAAGGGTAAAGTTTAAGGGTCAACTAACGGTGATGTTGAGGTTCCAAGCCCACTGGAAAAATAACAAGTAGCGAGAACTCACGACCCAAGGTAATGGATTCTAACTGTGTCGAGTCTAGGTTACTCACAGACCATCCAGGGTCACTAGTTAGGCGACTGAGGCGGAAGGGGTCATGGCCCTGCTGTTGTTAAAGGCTTGAAAACACTGATTTGACCTGCCTTCAGGGTCTTGCTCTAACACAGAATAGGAAAGTTAAGAACCCCAGGTCTCCAAATCCATTGTTGTGTTCAAAGGTCTGGAACCAAACAGAGCTTAAAAACACTTATGTTACCTAGGGACAAATACCTGACGGGCGCAGCAATACTGTAAACATCAGACAGGGGTGGCACAATCGTTTATCCTGTGAAGATGCCTACTCTCCAGGCTGCCCATGCTTGCCTGCCTGTCCTCAACACATCAGTCTGGTACCCTAGAACCTGGGCTCTGTAATCGGTGATGCTGATCGTGATTCGTTCCCGGGGAAACGTGCCGTCTCCCACAACACAGGACATCTTACCTAATGTGCTTTTCGTTCTGGGTTTCTTCTTCTTAGGATGGCTAGGCGGTACATTATCTACGGAGACAGAAAGAACAGCAGCGATTATGGCAGAAAATCGGCTGGACCACAACTTCTGATAAGGAAGACGTTCCCCTCTCTTCTCTGGGACCACACACAGCATGGTGCCAACAATACACTGTCCCCCCAGTGCTGTACAACTCTGACTTAAAAAGTGGGCTCAAGAGGCGTCCACATTCTCCCATACAGTCTCCAGCCCCTTGTGCTGAGGTATGGTCGAGATTGGTTCTGGCCAGGAGGCTGAACAGATGTGATTTGTGTCTGTCTGCAGCGCTGAGGGGCCTGATCTTGCTGACCTCAGAGGGTAAGCAGGGTGACACCTGTTCAGTACTAGGATGGGAGTGATGTGTGTCACCTGGGAGCCAAAACACCGAGAAGGCAGCTCAATGTCAGAGAAACAAGCCTCACAGTAGGACCACAGGACCACGTGACAAAAGCGGCCTAGATCTCAGCACATCGTTACCAAGCCAATCGCTCTGGGCTGTTACAATGACTCTGCAATTAACCTAGTAGGACTTTTTATTTTTAAAAAAGAACATTTATTCTGTGTATACACATGTGCACGCCGTGTGTGTAGCTGCGCGCACACACAGCTTATATGTAGCGGTCAGAGGACAACCTGCAGGAGCCACTTCTTCCTTCCCACCATGTGGGTTCTGGGGACCCAACGCAGGTTCTCGGGCTGGGCGCCTTTGCCCACTAAGCCATGCTGCTGGTCCCACTTCGTATTATTTCTAACAACCTTGCGAAGATACTAGGTGAATAAAAATCTTGGAGTTATCAGTGTAGCATAACCTTGCCTGCCCTGATTGAAGGAAAAAGGAAAAGTGCAGTCTGATACAGCTCTAAGCAAGTGAAGGGGTACACTCTGGGGGCTGCACAGAACAATCTAAAACTGTATGTCTTACATAATTTTAAAATGGCAGTCACAGGAGTTTGTAACAACAAATGGTTACTGTTGTTTTATAGACTACAGATTACGATTCAATTCTAAATAGAACAAACTAAGGAGTCAAAATTATTATTATTATTATTATTATTATTATTATTATTATTAGGCAAGATTTGGCTGTTACCCAGGCTGGCCTTTGACACCTGAGTTCAAGCAGCTCTCCTGGCTCAGCCTGTAAGTGGCTGGCCTACCGGTGTACGCCACTGTCCCCAGATTCAACCCCGCCGAGACAGGATCTCACTATGCACCTCACGCAGGCCTCCAACGCAGAGTCTCCCTGCCTTGGCCTTCCCAGAACTAGGTCTGGCATGGGCCACCACACTCATCTCCACGCTTGTCTTAGAACACCAAGACGTAGGAGTTTTCACGCCAATAGTAAACAAACTCACCTTGAATCGCACTTCACGTGGCCCCAGCCAAATGGAATCAGCAGGACAAAAGAAAGAAAGAAACTTAATTATTATCAGACTGAAAATTGACTTACATCATTACGACCTTAAAAATATGAGTAGCTTTCACATACTGACAGTTAGTTTATAAACTAGTTTATTATCTGTAAGAAGCACTGTTTAACAGCACTGCTAAAAAACCTTTTGAAAACACAAATACATATTCCCTGCTATCTATTAATTAAAGGGACTAAGCAGATTAAGGACTCTGCTGGTTATAATCGGCTTCAGCCCTGATGGAACTGTTCCTGAAAATACAAGGGCATCGGGAGAGTTCTCATAAACAGGACACCAGAACACTTAAAACAGGCCCATTATTCTATTATGCTGGATTAAGGATTTCTACTACTTATATCAATTATTTCTCAAGATTCAAATTTATTTTTTGCCTCTAAACTTTTAGGAAGAATTTTCCTAAAAATTCCAGGAAGGTGTTTTTCCCCTGAAGCATTGTTGTTTTTCAACCACACTATTCATTTTGTTACTTATTTTTACATCTTTAAAGTTCAATAATGAAATGACTGTAAATTATTTTTACCTTGGCACAGGTGGAAGGGCTCGTGGAGGATGCTATAGGAGTAAGGGAAAGACCAAAAAAATCTTTTGAAATTGTTTCTCAGTGAAATGTGGGAGGTGATGTATGTGTGCATTTAGATATGATGAATAACTAGAATAAAAAGAGATACTTTACTTAGGGAAACTCTCTCTGAGGTTATGTGAGCTGAGACCTGCATGATAAAGGAGCCAACATGACAGGAAACGGGAAGCAAACGTTAAGGCTTTCAGGTAACAATCACCGAGGCTGGAACATAGTAACCAAGGACAGCAACACAGAAGCTGGATTAATTGGGGCTTTGCAAACCAAGGGAAGAGATATGGTTTGCTTTTATTAAGTTGCTTTTATTAAGCCAACTGAGGGCTAGTACTTTTTAAAGAGTTATCTTAAAGAGAAATAGACATACTTTATAAAAACAGTTATCTTAGAGAGAAATAGAAAACATATTTTAGAACAGAAAATATTGGGGTTCGGGTATAATTTATGCTGCTCTGCGTAAGAAAAAAAATCACGTTTGTAAGTTCAGGGAGCATTAGTTAAGAGCCTTCTGAAACCTTTCAAAATAGAATACCAAGCACCGGAGAGACGCCTCAGTCGATAAGAGCACCTGTAGCTCTTGCTGAGGTTCAGTTAGGTTCCCAGCACCCATGAAGCAGCTTGCAGCCATCAGTAATCCCAGTTCCAGGAAAACGGACAGCCTCTTTCTGGCTTCTTTGACTACCAGGCACACCAGTGGTGCACACAGACAGATGTGGGCAAAACATCATAAATAGATAGATAGATAGATAGATAGATAGATAGATAGATAGATAGATACTAATTCTTTAACAGAACTGAATAAATAAATCTTTAACAGAACTGAAAACTAACAAGAGCCTAGCAGTCAATTTAATATCTCAAGTACCTCACGCTGCTTACAGAGGGCACTGATTTCCAAGGCTTAAATGTTAGATGCTCTTGTTTGTCCAATTTAGCAATCCGTGTGGTCGTCATCCAAACAGATTCATGAAAATGATACAAGACCGGACATTGAAGGAGGCCCTAATGCCACCAGACGGGACCCAGCCCGCCTAATGGTCCACGTCTCACAAGCCCCGCAGAAACGACCCATCTCGCCCATCCCGAAACCACAACCCGACGGCCCTCCCAACCAGGATGGCTCCACAGACGACGACAGTCCGGCCACTCAGCAGTACCTGAGCCTCGCTAACCACCTGCTTCTTCCCCATCGCGTCTCCAGGGGCCGCAGCGGAGCTGCACTCCCGCCCCGCCCACCCAGGCGCAGGCGCCGAGCGTCATCGGGCTGCGCCTCCCGCCGGTGCGTCCCCGCCCCTTGCGTCATCGGGCTGCGCCTGCCGCGAGCGGTTTTTGACCCTGCCGGATCTGAACCCGCTGTGTCCCTTTCAGACTAAGCTGGAACGGGGAAGCCTTGGCATCGGCCGACGTTCCGCTGGGAGCGGAGGTCGGCATGGTTTGCCCGCCGGGACCAGACCCGGATTCAGACGCCCCGCGGGCGTCGTCATGGCAACGCGGAGACGCCTCGTGCGGATCGCCAGCCTAGCTCGGTTGCACCCGGCGAGCGGGGCTCTGTCGTCGTCGTCCCCCCCGATTCCTGGATCGTCCGCGGTCACTGCTGGCCAGGACATCCCCAGATCGCCACGCTCCGGGTCCTGCGCCCCGGTCACTCACCACCCGAGCCCGGGGCCAGATCCCCGCGACCTCCGACCTCCAGGGGGACCTGCGGGAAGCGGCGCAGCCCGCTGCTGGGCCCGGTTGCAGCCTGCCAGGGAGCTGTCCAAGGGGAGATGCCTAGAACTGGGGTAACGGGCAGGCTGTGACTGTCCAAGCCCAGATTCCCTGCCGGCCTAGAGTGTAATTCATAGATGCAGTTCTGACCGTTTCTTCCATGGGAATAGCTGTGAAAACGGGTTCATAGATTTTTCACAAGCACAACCTGTAACCAGATCCCTTCCTACCTTACTGTCATGCAAAAACGACTTAATTTTCCCCGCATTTGCTTTAGATAAGGTGTTCACGTTAAGAAAAGGACAAGCTTTTTGAATCCTTTGGTTACCATTTTTTAAAAAGTGGCATGCAAGAGGAAAACGCCAGGCGACAGACTTCACTTGGAGGGGTTTTTATTAAGGGAAAGGGAACGAGAAAAAGGGGGAAAGGGAGACCGCCGGGGACAGGAGCAACAGAAGAGGGGGGGCGGGGAGACAGAGAGACAGGCGGGGAAGAGGAGGAGGGAAAAGAGGGAGAAGAGAGAGAGAGAGAAAGAGAGATTTTTTTAAATTTGTAGCACGGAGGGAACTGTAGTTATGAAGAAGATGAACAGACGTGGGTGTGGAGAATGCCACTGGAAGTGACGGATCTAGGGAGACCAAGAGTCACTTTGGAGTTTGTTCATATGCAGGCATCCAGAACTAGTTCATTTACTAAATGTTGTGAAGAGGCTGCTTGTTCGTCCCCAGCCTCCCAGAACCGAAATAATCACACATTAAATCACTCTTTGGTCCATTAACTCTAGCTTCTTATTGGCTGACTCTTACATCTTAATTTAACCCATTTCCATTGACCTGTGCATCACCACGAGGTGGTGGCCTACAAACAAAGTTTCAGCGCCTCTGTCTCTGCTGGTGGCTCCATGGCTTATCTCTGACTCTGCCCTTCTTTCTCCCAGCATTCAGTTTAGTTTTCCCCACCTAGCTCTGTTCCCCTATACCTCTGCTATAGGCCCAAAGCAGATCCTTTATTAACCAATGATCATCACAGCATACAAAGGGAACTCCTACATCACACTGATTTGGAAATGACGCTGTCATAATTTCACTTATTAGATGTGTGTGTGAGCCATTTTGCTGAGTTGGTCAACTAGGCACTTTTGTAAAAACAGAAGACAAAATATCTTAAAAGTAAAATACAGTTTCACCCATTAACTATTGTCCGATTTATTTAGAGGAAACTTTCACAAATTAAATCTCACAAGCACTATATGAAATCTATAATTCTCACATGAATATTGTTACATTTAGAGACTTAGCATTATTCACATTCCTACCATCAGCTCATACTGGGATATTATGGAAAAACTTGACTGAGTCAAATGAATAGCTCCATGTAATTATACAATACTATCAATAGCCATACAATAGTGATGTGGGATTCCCCTCTGTATGCTGGGAATACCATTGGTTATTAAAGAAACTGTCTTGGGCCTGCGAAGGGAATAGAGGTAGGCGGGGAAAACTAACCTGAGTGCGGGGAGAAAGAAAGTAGAGTCAGGGAGAAGCAATATAGCCCCACAGACGCAGAAGCCAGAACTTTAGCCAGTAAACCACAGCCTCATGGCGATACACAGATTAATAGAAATGGGCTAAATTAATATGTAAGAGTTAGTAAATAAGAAGCTAGAGCTAATGGGCCAAGCAGTGATTTAAAGAATAAGGTTTCTGTGTGGTTATTTTGGGTCTGAGCTGCCGAGCAGTGGGGAAATGAACAAGCAGCCTCCCTTCAACATGGCTACAGTTGCAGTTCTAGTGAGTCAAACACTGCTGTTTTCAATTGGGGCTGCTGCACTGAGTTTTTAGGACTTGATTAAGACTCAGTGCCAGGAGAAATCCATTCCTCTGGCACCCATTGCAGTTCTTCCTGAGCTTTCTGTATGGCAGACAACAGCTGGGCACATGCATCTTCCAAGTTGTCATTCACAATCACGTGATCAAAAAACTGGCCAAACTGACTCTCCATTTTTTGGGCTAAATCCTCCATCTCTTGTAGGTCTTCATCCTTCAGGAGAGATTGAAAAATATGAATAGAACAGGCAATAACACACCAGATTGTTAGTTGTGGAGGCACACGACTTAATCCCAGCACTTGGGAGGCAGAGTCAGGCAGATCTTTGAGCTCGAAACCTGCCTGGTCTACAGAGTGAGTTCCAGGACAGCCAGGGCTACACAGAGACCCTGTCTTTTGGGCAAAAAAGAAACATCAGGTTGTTATACAAAGTTGTGACATTATTTGTAAAAACATATCAAGTGTCCTCTATATTCTTTTTGCCTTTTTTTTCTTATTTTGGATTTTTGAGGCAGTGTCTTGCTATGTAACCCAGGATGGCTTTAAACCTGTGATCCTCCTGCCTCAGCCTCCCAAATGCTCAGGTTTCTTCAGGTGTGTGTCAGCATGTCCAAATAAGAACACAATTTTAAAAGCCCCAACGACTTAGAAAATAGACTATCATATCCATGGACTGTCAAAAAGTCAAACAGGGAATTATAGTAATTGAAAAAATATGAAGAGAAAAATACTGAAATATAAGATCTAAAAAGATATTCTAGGCTTGCTTTGACATGACATCCTAAAATTGGAACAATATAGAGATGTTAGCAATGGACCCTGTGCAAGAAGGACATGCAGATTTGTAAAGCAATTATTTCTATTTTAATTTTCAAGGTAAAACTATTTCACAACAATATAAATATAATCAATACAGCTGGGTGGTAATGGTACACACCTTTAATCCCAGAACTTGGGAGGGAGAGGCAGGCAGATCTCTGTGAGTTCAAGACTAGCCTGGTTCCAGGACAGCCAGGGCTACACAAAGAAATCTTGTCTCAAAGTACATATATACATACATACTCATGCATGTGTATGAAGTCAATACTATATATACATATATGTGTGTGTGTGTGTATAGTCAAGACTACTAAACTATACTAATTTCTAAAATTTATAGATCTATTTACTCTGTGTGTGTGTGTGTTGGTATGCTCATTATTTTAAAAATAAGTAAAAATAATTCAAAAATACAAATATGCTTATAAACAATTTGTTTGCCTTTGCAAATTGTGGCTTATGAGTCGTTTGTTAAGCTAGGAAAAAGCATCACGGAATTTATTAAATCTTATTTTAATATATGTAATTAGTATCTAATAAAATTTGTTGGTGATTTTGGGGTGTTTTTGGTTTGGTTTAGCTTTGTTTTTTTGTTTTCGTTTTTCAAGACAGGGTTTCTCTGGGCATTCCTAGCTGTCCTGGAACTTGCTCTGTAGACTGGCTTTGAACTCAGGGATTCACCTGCCAAAGGATAACTTGTAAAGACATTACTCATTAAAACCTTCAAAGGATTCTGTGGAAATAACTGATTTTTTAGAAAAACCATTTTATTGACGTGCTCCTGGGGAGAGGGTCAAAGACGAAAACAGCGAAATGTCCTCAGCCCAGCCTGATCGTCCTTCCACCAAACCATAACTGAAAGTAATACCAGGATTTCTACTCGATTTACCTTGAATTTCATGTCCACAAAGTAGTCAGTAATAATCTTAGCATTTTTCCGAGACTGTTTCATGAAACTCATGTTAGGTGGCTTAATAAATATGACATAGGGCTTCAGTTCATGAGTCCGAGTCAACTGAATGTCCTACACAGAAAAATCAAGTGCGCAGTTAGAAGACCGATGTGGGCCAGCAAGAAAGCTCAGCTGGCAAAAGCACCTGCCGTGCGAGCTGCTGAACCCAGTCCGATCCCTGGAATCCACCACAGAAGATAGAACTGATCTGTGAAAATGGCCCTCTGGCTTCCACACAGCGCATCCAAATACATGGTATACATTCTAAAAATTAAATATAGAAGCCCTAGCTTCCTGTAGTCAGTGTGATCACAGTCCCATGCCTCCCTGTCCTCAATTATAAAATCAAAACAATTAAATAATAAATATGGCTCTAGAATCAAAATTAAATTAGAATCCTAGCTCCTCCTCTTCTAGCTATGACTAGCTACTGAATTATTGAAATAAATTTTATACATGACAAAATGCTGTTCACTGAGAGTAGACTCCTTTGCATGACCTCATGTGAGAATCAAAGACAATTTCTGGAAAGGTCCATTTGCCCTCACCTCCGTTTCCTCTAGCGAGCACCTCTCATTGGACACCACTTCCATCTTCATAACCCCCACCTCTGACTCAAGAAAGAACAAATCACTTTCCCCTCCGATTGTCTTTAGCACTCAAGTATATCGTTAAATAAATAAAGAGAATGAAAGGATCAAAAAGCTGGGCCTCCACAAATACTGATCAAACCTCAGTTCTTTTCACCCGTGGTTCAGGCGTGTAACACATTTATGCCAACACCAAGCACTGCCTTTTGTTTAAAGCAATATCCTCCTCCACAAGAAGTTCCCTGGACAAGTTTGCGACCAGAGTCAAAGCAGGAAAGATTGGGACTGTTTCCTTAATGGCTGTCCACTCAAGTCCGGGTTCTGAGTGTGAGAAATAAGACTTCCTCTCCAACTAAAAGCAAAAGGTTGCCAATTTATATTCCGAGGAACAACCAGGCCCTGCGATGCGAGAGCTGGTCTTACTCTTAAAAGTCTATCTGAATAAAATGTCTCAGTTGCAGCCTGGGACATGTCCACGACACGGATCACATGCATCTGTGCCTTTAGGGTGATGGAAAATATTCTACACAGACCCACCTGAGGCTCCAAATCCATGACACAGATCTTTCCTTCAGCAAGGACCGCACGCACAGCATTCACGCTAGTTCCGTACAGGTGGCCTTTGTACTCACCATACTCCAGCATCCTGTAGGACAAAGGAAACGATTCTCCGCAAGTAAAATATTCGCAGTAGTACTAGGATCTGTATTTGTTAGGTTTTGCTTGTTTATTTGCTTTGTCAGTTTGACTAAGCTAGAGTCACCTGGGAAGAGAATCTCGAGTGATGGTTTCCATCGGGTTACCTTTAGGCAAGTCTGGGAGGGTGTTTTCTAAATTAATAACTGATGTAGGAAGGCCCAGCCCACGACAGGTGGCGTCACTCTGAGCAGGGGTCCTGGGTTGTGTAACCCAGGTAGCTGAGCAGGTCAGGAGGAGCAAGCCCATAAGCAGCTCCATAGCTTTCCCTTTGGCTTCTGCCTCCTAGCCCATGGACTTCCTGTCCAGGCTTCCCTCAGTGATTGACTGGGACATGAATGTCTTAGCAAATAAACTCTTGTCTCCCCAACCTACTGTTGGTCATGGTGTTTCTTGTAACACTAGAAATCTAAGTAGGACATAAATGTGAGCTCCCATGAGATGCATGGATCTTGTCAGCACAGAAAGAATGACTGGATATTCAGGAGAAAACAAAACAAACAAACAAACAACAACAAGAAGAAGAAAACCACAGTAGACAACCAAGGACGTATCTACTTCTTCAAATCCACTGCAGCTCGCAGCTCAAGTCTGCCCCCTTCCCAAACCTGATCACGCGGATCCGGTAATTAATGCATATTCCTTTCTCGCATCTTCAGAAATGAGGGGTTACTGCCAACAGCTTTGGCTAATACCTAAAAACGGACTACTTTCAAATAACCAGAAGGAAGAATTGGCTTCTGAGCCTTACCTGTGTCCATACATGAGGCTTTCAAATGTTTCCCTTGACACGTAGTGATACTCACGTCCGTCCATTTCATAACTCTTTGGGGAACGGGTGGTATCTACAAGAGAAGAGAACACAGCATTTCAGGATCTTCTAAATATTCTGGTTTGTTACCAAATGTATACTTGGATTGAAATTCCCAACTAAAACAAACAAAAAAAAAATGAATGCGTAAACAGACAAGATGCTGGAACCAACGTGATAAAGAATTGGTGAGATAAAGTGAGAGCTCCTATGTCAAACTCCACCAATTACAAACCTTTATTGACTGTTCATAGTGTGGAAAAGAATGTACCATATATATCAGCCAGGGGAACACCTGTTGCTATTTCAAAACAGGTAATGCTGACCCTTTATTTCAAAACAGGTGATGCTGAACCAAATGAACTAAAATGCATGTCGGCTCCCTCACACGGGTACCACCAGCATCTTCTGTTTAGATAGTGCACTGATCATCTCATGGCGTCCCATACCGCTCTCTGCGCACATTACAATTTTACTGAGAAGTGACTGCAACTTTAGAAGACTAAATAATTGCTCACATTCATTGACTAGTGCTTCACCAGGTTGTCTCAGATTTGAAGGAGAAAGAAAACCCACGACATTCTGCAGTCTTGGCCATTCATTAATACCAAAGTAGGAGGTTTCAGAGATAAAGAAAGGGGAAAATTAGCCAAGTCTGGGTTTGGTTTGATTCTTTGATGTGACCTCTTTAACTTAGACTCTGCAATTTTATCTTTCAGTGGCATCTGGTACAGAATACACAAGTCCTCCCAAATACGTAAAAGGGATTTATTTATTTATTCAGCTAACACACGCTGTGTGCCTACTTATTCCAGATACTAGTCTGGGTTCTAGAACTCAAGAATCATACACCATTGTAATTCTGTGCCCTACATGTTATAATGCTAGTTGCTCTATGTTCCCCTCATTAAAAAGAAATCTACTCTTGCATTTGACAAAGTTTAAGGATAAACTAGAAAAACAAAAATGACAAGCAAGGAGCTTGAACCAGTCTCTCCATGATCAACCTCCTGGGGGCTCCAGAAGTAGATACCACGTTGGGGTCATTTATTATTATTATTTATTTAACTCCTCTTTGTGTCCTTAGAGTTCCATATCTATGCAATTTCTCCTGCAGTTTCAACCTTCCATTTGCCTGAAATTAGGCATCTTCAGTCAGAACTTCTCTACTTGACACTAAAGGAAGTTTTCTGGTGTGATTTTTAAAATGGCTTTACTGGAAATTAAACCCTAGTAGAAATACACAATGGTGGGGTTGGAGAGATGGCTCAGTACTTAAGAGCACTGGCTGTTCTTCCAGAGGATTCAGGTTCGATTCCCAGCACCCACATGGCTGCTTACAACTGTCTGTAACTCCAAGGGGATCTGACACCCTCACACAGACATGCACGCAGGCAGAATGTCAAAGCACATGAAATAAAGACAAATATATCATTAAAACTACATATTATTTTTAATGTATTTTATTTTAAAAGTAACATATTAGTATTGCAGTTTTCCAATGTCTTAAAGATTAAACACAGGTCTCCAGAAGGAGGAAAGTCTGGGGGACTAATTCTTAGAAGCTAGAGTGATGTAAAGGAGTCACGAGCAAGAAAATCAGAAAGAAATGACTTGAAAAAGGCATAGGTATGTGGTAACCGTGCTTATAAATGTATGTAAAATAATATCAAGATATTAAAAGCTTTAGATAAAAATAAATAACATAAAAGTCAAGCATAATGCCAGAAAGATAATAAATACTAAATGGATGTTGGCCATTATCATAAATAATATTTCTTATCTGAATATTTCTTATCTATATGACTGTTAGAAAAGGAAGGGAAGAGGCCAGGGAGATGGCTTAGTGGGTACAGACGCTTGCCACCAAGCCTGACCTGCAGGGGCTGCAGACCCTCAGACCCTGGACTTTCTGTGACCCTTTGCCTGCTGGAGTGAACAGAGTAAAAGATTTGTTTTCCTGTGCCTGGAGCTGCTCTGAGCACGACGAGACCCT